TTGAGCGCCTTTACATGAACATGCTCAAGGCGCTTTACATTTTAAAATACAAACAAAATAGTTATATACTCTCCAAGTGCATTACACTCTAAAAAAAAAGACAATTACAAAGAAAACACATGAGTTTTTAAATGTTTCTTAAATAATGCGACTGAGGTGCAAGAACGAATGCTTAAAGGGAGACTATTCCAAATAGTGGGACCAGAAAAAATTATATTTTGTTGACCCTTCTTCGAATTGATGCGGGGGATTTGCAGAAGAAGGGGGTCTGACCTTGAACGTAATGGATATCTCGATTGCTGGAAGGGACAAAACAGACTAAAAATATAGGATGGGATAAGGTTATACATGGATTTATAAACAAATAGTGAAACTTAATACATTATTCTTAACAGGTAACCAGTGTAGTTGTTTTAACAAGGGAGACACATGATCATATTTTCTTGCATTTGAAATAATACGGGCTGCACGATTCTGGATTCGTTGAAGTCTATCGATATCAGAAACATTTATATTAATCAAGAGGGAATTGGCATGTGTGCTCTCCAAGTTGCATGTTATTTTTTTATATTGGATTTCTGTACTTGTGTGGATATAATTGCGAACGTGCACAGGGGCGGCGGCAGAGGGTTTTTCAAAGTGGGGGTCAACACTTAAGGGGCACTTTTGGGAAAGCAGGGGCACCTACAAAGGGAACTTTCACAGCGACAAGATATAATTTTTAGAAATTGGTATATACCCCTACATTGTGATCACATTATCAGGGATGATTCCAATATTTTTTTTTTTTCTACACGATCGAAGATACTGCTTAATGGTGGGTTCCTACTGCCGATCAAACCAACCCGCCCAAGCCCAATCAAGCCCGATCACCCATTTTCCCCCGACAAATCCCGACCACATGCCTAAACGCAAGCTCTTTCCGACCGCTATTCGACCATTCACGACCCACATTCGACCATTCACGTTCACGACTCCTGAGTTTTGATTATACATGACTTTGGCTGCGTTCATGCTTAAATTTTGAAGGCAGAATGAGCGATCTGAAACGCTCATCGTAAACGCTCATCGTGATCGCAGTTCCACGATGTAGTGTTCATGCTTACTTCTCTGGCTCCCCCAGGCAATTCTCAGTGTGTGGCCTTAATTGGTCTTCCAGCTGGATTCGCAAACCTTCACTGTGCATGCTACGTAGACCCACTAGAGGTCAGTGCGTTGACCCCATTTAAACGCGTTTACAAATTGTAAACGCATCTTTTTGTGAGTTTACGATCGGCGATCGTGATCGCCGTTTTTCGGTGATTCTACAAAAGTGAGCTAAGACGCAACCGTGTTTTAAACTAAACGCGTAACAGATGCCTGATTCTGGCCGTCAAAATCAAGCATGAACGCGCCCTTGGAAACGTCTGGCGAGCTCAAGGAGAAGGATATAGTGCTGCCTGGATAATGAATACTTTGAAAATCAGGCTTTGTGACATGTCTATTCAGGAATGGATGTAGCTACCTAGTCAAATCGTATTTGCACGAACTAAAGGATATTTAAGAATAAGTTTATGAAATGTAAGTAAATTTAGATGTAAAACACATAGATTACCTGTTAATAAAAGCAGATTTGATGCAAATATAGTAGTACATGATTTGCAATGCGCACTTTATACATCAACCGATATAGGCTAGGAATATTATGTCTTTTTTTAGGTAAACGTCAAACAAATTGCAATAAAATATTTTTCACTGCAATGCATTTTAGTAAGGTCACTAAAATGACATACTAAAAGTCCAAAAAAATCCAAGTAGTGGAAGTGTCCCTAATTTGCATAAATCCAATATGGCCGCTATTTCGAGGATTTTCACATATATTTTATCATATTTGTCAGCTTGTATAGGCTGTTGTGGCACTAAAGGAGGAGGAAAAGTGATCTGCTGTACATTTTGTATCAACTAAAATACCCATATACTACAGGTACATCACACATCTGAAACAAACCCCCCACACACCCACACCCACACAATCTAATATGTAATTTATGCTCAATTTGTCACCTCAGCAGATGATGTTATTTCATTATGCACTAGACAAATATCATGTCATTTTAATTATATTGAAAAAAACAAAAATCAAAATATTCAGAAAAACTTGCCCTTATGAGTATCCGTACAAACACAAGAGCTGTTGGTAGGGCTATTAGGGGTACAACCTGTACCTTACATTATCCTCATTGGAATTAGAAGTTGTTCTCAGTGCAACAGTTTATTTCATTTTAGAGATCTGACAAATAGAAGCATACATTGTATGCTAATGGCTCATCACAGTACAATTGTCCATATTACTGCGGTATTTGTACTCTCAAGTCACTATTTTTGTCAAATATTCAACTAAGTTAGACCCATAAGCTTTTATTATGTGATATCCATGATGCCTTATTTAGTCATTCATTGCAAAACTTTAAAGTAGAACACCCAATGATAGTTTCATTATAAGAGCAATGGAAAGCTTATAATGTGCAGAATACAATACATTTTTGTAATTAACATATCAGAATCAACTAAGGCACAATAAATAATCAAATTTTATCACTACACCCCCTCCTTTCCTCTAAGGTCATTCAGAGGTCAAATTAAGCCTGTAATTCATGACGCCACAGAATGTACACCTTTCTTGATCGCCGATATATGCAGTGCTACAAAAGGCAAGCCTACACCTGAGCCTAGTTATAGGAAGGGGGCTTTAGTTGTTGCTGTGGAACTGGTTGTGCTATTACTGTAGTTGTAGTAGAAATATGCATTAAAAGAAATGATACTTGGTCGCAAAATGTGTCTGGAAGACTTGCGCATGTCAATGATCTTCCCGCAGTTGATGCAGTATACCATAAATTATGCATGGTGAACTTTAAAACTAAAACATTATCAATTCTCATCTCGCAATGCTTTTAATGCTCTTATCCGGTGGTTAAGAAATATGAAAGAAGTGTGGCAATTTTTCAAGAGTGCATTCAGTATCTTGCAAATAATATCGACACTCCTGATTGATCAGGTACTTTCCACAGATGGGTACATTGCTACCCAAAACCAGGGATAAAGTACTGTAAGCCTGTACCGTTTATCTAGATAAACGGTATCCGCTGAGGACTTTGCTACTGTTGGACGTATCAACATTGAATACTTAAAGGCATCTACAACTGATCAACCTCTGGTTTACCAGCCGATTATGAATCGGGCACCAGAAGATCTAACATTTGACCTTGATGTGTTGTTGAAGACATCTTTACTACTGTGGTCCCCAAGGCCTTCAAAGGTCCGGAACGATACAGATAATAAAAGCAACGGCAAGTACCCTGATCAGTCATCTTCTTTGTTTCTCCCCATGATTTACATGAGTCCTAGGGATCCATCCTACATGTGTTTACTACACTCTGCGTTTTGCTTGTACCCATGCTAAACGGTATAATACTATACAATCGTGTGGACGTTTGATAAGCTGCTATTGTGGAAGGCACTCACAATAATCAGGAGCCAGCAAAGGGACAGTGACTTGAAGCAGATCGTTCTGCAGGGCATTTGATGACGGGCTCAGGACCCCATGAACTTCTTGAAGTATATAGTGTATGCCCTATATGCTGGGTGGAAAGGCGATTTCTAGAGCTGCATGTGCGGGGCCATTGATGCTGCTCTAAATACCATTACCAGACTTGTATAATGTACATCTGCAACGAGTACAAACAACCTCCGGAAACTCCTATAGTGATCACTATAGGAATTTCCAGAGGTTGTTCAGCACCCAGGTACTCCATGTGGAGTAGCTAATTTCGCAGAGCAGCCCACTTAAGTTCTCTCTTGAACAACTACTAATTAACGGACAGCATCTTCCTGATCTTCATTATGATGTAGCAATTGAGGAAGAGCAGATCCTGGATTTAATTGTGATGCAACAGAAGTTTAAAGCAACAGTTCTTGTCGATGATGACACAAACCTTCTCATCTTGCTGATCTTCTACGCTGATCTGAATGCAAAGGACTTCTTTTTTTGCACCTGAGCCAAGTTAAGGCAACTCCAAGAAGAACCGAACATGGAATATCAAACAGCTGAAGGAAACTCTAGGAGGTAGTGTGTGTGACTACTTTCTCGTTGTCGTGTGCTTCTGAACTGCGACACAACGTCTCGCATATTTGGACTAGGGAAAGGCGTAGCACTGAAGAAAATCATGAAGAATGACGACTTCTGTGAGCTTGCCATGGCATTTAGTCAGCCTGCATCATACCTGAAGGAGGCCATTATTCCAACTGGAGAGAAGGCACTTGTATGCCTGTATGGTGGTGACTAAATAGCAGATTGCGTAAAGGTATCACCAATCTTGTCTGCCTTAGAAGCAAAGACTTTGCAACCAATTTCAGCAGCAGGAAATTTCCACAGTCTGCGTGTGTACTATCAGATATTAGAATGGAAAGGAATGGCAGACAGCCTGACATCGGGAAACTGAGTTGGCAGGTCATGGATGGGAAGTATCTTTCCAATAAAAACTGATAAAACACCAGCATCCGCAAAACACCTTAAGGTCATCAGATGTGGATGCAAGAAAGATTGTGCAGCCAAGAAATGCACGTGCCGGAAGTATATGACCTCCAATGTTCAACAGCCTGCACTGATTGTCATGGCACTTGTTGTAGCAACTCACCACCATTATAGGCCTACCTAGAACTTGATGAGAACTACTGGTCAGCATGCCACATAAATGTTTGTTTGTTGGAGACTACCAACTCTAATCAAATGAAAATATGAATACTTAACTGTAGGCCTCAGGACCTGCATCCTGTAATAACAACTGCACTGGGATTGTAAACCAACATAGACATAGCTGCTCTGAAATGCATTGTAAGGTGAGAAATGTATTAACCCACTTTAAAAAAAATGTATGTGTATATATGCAAATTAAAAAAAAACCTTATTATGAAACATTTGAAATATAAATATATTTGTACAACATATATAAGTGTTGTCGCAATTAGTCTGAATGTAACATAAGACAAAAAATATCATTATAATAAATTCTCTACAAAAAACGTTTAATTTTAATAGCAGCCATTTTGAATTTAAGCAAATTAAAACACTCAACCGGGCATATGAAACCTTATGCAAACAAAACAATTCTTGGAAATAACATTTTAGACATTAAAAGTACACTAAAAGTGTGAATATTTTGACCAAATCTAGGAGAAAACCCTAGAATTGGCGGCCATTGTGGATTTATGGAAATTAGACACAATTAGTCCACTACACGGATAATGTAAGGTACAGACTGTACCCCTATAAACATAACCCTATAACAGCTCTTGTGTTTGTACGAATACTCATAAGGGCCAGTTTTTCGGAACTTATATTTTTGTTTTAGTTTTTTCAATATAAAATGACATGATATTATTTTGTCTAGTGCATAATGAAATAACATCATCTGCTAAGGTAATACATTACATGTTGAATTGTGTGGGTGTGGGTGTGCGGGGGATTTGTTTCAGGTGTGTGATAAACCTGTAGTATATGGGTATTTTATTTGATACAAAATGTACAGCAGATCACTTTTCCTACTCCTTTAGTGCCACAACAGCCTATACAAGTTGACAAATATGACAAAATCTATGTGAAAATCCTCGAAATAGCGGCCATATTGGATTTATGCAAATTAGGGACACTTCCACTACTTGGATTTTTTTGGACGTTTAGTATGTCATTTTGGGGACCTTACTAAAATGCATTGCAGTGAAAAATATTTTATTGCAATTTGTTTGACCTCAAAACACAATATTCCTAGCTTATATTGGTGATGAATTTCATTATATTTGTATATGTCCATTCTTCCAAAATGAGAAAAAATGGTGTATACCAAATAACGTGTGTGGTAGTGCGTTGCACATGGATAAGGTTTTTAGTACAGCTCATGCTTGCCAGCTAAAGAAATTAGCAAAATTTGTAAGGATAATTATGTCACATTTTTCAAAAGAGCCAAGTGTAGATGGTAATACTGTAAATGATAGCTCACAAGTAAGCAATGTTGTGAGGCAAACTTGTAGCGGTAGGAGGGTGAACTGCCCAGTTCGCCTTGATTTGTAAATAATATATTGATTTTTTCATATTATCATAATCATTAATCATATTATCATATGTTTATCATTGTTCATATTATCACATGTTTATCATTGTTATACTATTGTTATATTGATACTCTGTTGGAAATACGTTGTACTCACATACCCCGAGAGGGGGTCGATAGAGTCAATAACAAATACAATCAATCTTGCCAACTGAACTTACCTTTATCAATTACCTGCGCGTGGAGAGGTGTGCGCCTCCAACCAATATCAACCCTATTTGGATCTGCTTTTCGGTCAGTGAGAAACTGTTCCACATCATGGTGACCATTGAATGATGCCGCTTGGAGAGGTGTCCTGCCATCATTACCAGCCGTATTTCGATCTGCTCCTTGGCATATGAGAAACTGTACAACGTCGAGGTGACCATTGAATGATGCCGCATGGAGAGGTGTGCGCCCATCAAAACCAGCCCTATTTAGTTCTGCTCCTTGACCAATGAGAACCTGTGCAACCTCGAGATGACCTTTGAGTGATGCCACTTCCAGAGGTGTGCTGCCATCTTTACCAGCCCAATTTAGATCCGCTCCTTGGCCAATGAGAAACTGTACAACATCCAGGTGACCATTGAATGATGCCGCTTGGAGAGGTGTGTGACCACCAATACCAGCCATATTTAGATCTGCTTTTTGGCCAATGAGAAACTTAACAACATCGAGATGATCTTTGAGTGATGCCACTTCTAGAGGTGTGCTGCCATCTCGACCAACCCGATTTAGATCTGCTCCTTGGCCAATAAGAAATTGTACAACATTGAGGTGACCCTTGAATGATGCCGCTTGGAGAGGTGTGCGCCCACCAATACCAGCCCTATTTAGATCTGCTCCTTGGCCAATGAGAAATTGTACAACATCAAGATGACCTTTGAGTGATGCCGCTTCTAGAGGTGTGCTTCTATCGTTACCAGCCCCATTTAGATCTGCTTTTTGGCCAATGAGAAACTGTACAACATCGACGTGACCTTTGATTGATGCCACTTCTAGAGGTGTGCTGCCATCTTGACCAACCTTATTCAGAACTGCTCCTTGGCCAATGAGAAACTGTACAACATCAAGGTGACCATTGAATGATGCCGCTTGGAGAGGAGTGCGCCCACCAATACCAGTCCTATTGAGATCTGCTTTTTTGCCAATGAGAAACTGTACAACATCGAGGTGACCTTTGAGTGATGCTGCTTCTAGAAGAGTGCTGCCATCATTACCAGTCCTATTTATATCTGCTTTTTTGCCAATGAGAAACTGTACAACATCAAGGTGACCATTGAATGATGCTGCGAAGAGAGGTGTCCTGCCATCTTTATCCGCCCATTTTAAATCTGCTCCTTGGCTAATGAGAAACTCTACAACACCCAGGTGACCATTGAGTGATGCCGCAAAGAGAGGTGTCCTGCCATCTTTATCCGCCCTTTTTAAATCTGCTCCTTGGCCAGTGAGAAACTGTACAACATCCAGGTGACCATTGAGTGATGCCACTTCTAGAAGTGTGCTGCCATCTCGACCAAGTCTATTTAGATCTGCTCCTTTGCCAATGAGAAACTGTACAACGTCGCGATGACCATTGGATGATGCTGCATAGAGAGGTGACAATCCATCCTTATCTTCCCTATTTATATCTGCTCCTTTGCCAATGAGAAACTGTACAACGTCGCGATGACCATTGGATGATGCCGCATGTAGAGGTGTCCTGGCATCATTATCCGCCGTATTTAGATCTGCTCCTTGGTCAGTGAGAAACTGTACAACATCCAGGTGACTATCAGATGATGCCACTTCTAGAGGTGTGCTGCCATCTCGACCAACTCTATTTAGATCTGCTCCTTGGCCAATGAGAAACCGCACAACATCGAGACGACCATTGGATGATGCCGCATGTAAAGGTGTCCTGGCATCACTATCCGCCTTATTGAGATCTGCTCCTTGGTCAGTGAGAAGCTGTACAACATCGAGGTGACCATTAGATGATGCTGCGTGAAGGGGTGTCCTGGCATCATTATCCGACTTATTTGGATCTGCTCCTTGGTCAGTGATAAACTGCACAACATCGAGTTGACCGTTGAATGATGCCATGTGGAGAGGTGTCATGCCGTCTTTATCCGCCATTTTTAGATCTGCTCCTTGGCCAATGAGAAACTGTACAACATCAAGGTGACCATTGAATGATGCCATGTAGAGAGCTGTCCTCCCGTCATTATCCGCCCTTTTTAAATCTGCTCCTTGGCCAATGAGAAACTGTACAACATCGAGGTGACCATTAAATGATGCCGCGAAGAGAGGTGTCCTGCCATCTTTATCCGCCCATTTTAAATCTGCTCCTTGGCCAATGAGAAACTCTACAACATCCAGGTGACCATTGAGTGATGCCGCGAAGAGAGGTGTCCTGCCATCTTTATCCGCCCTTTTTAAATCTGCTCCTTGACCATTGAGAAAATGTACAACATCCAGGTGACCATTGAGTGATGCCACTTCTACAGGTGTGCTGCCATCTCGACCAAGTCTATTTAGATCTGCTCCTTTGCCAATGAGAAACTGTACAACGTCACGATGGCCATTGAATGATGCCGCATGTAGAGGTGTCCTGGCATCATTATCCGCCGTATTTAGATCTGCTCCTTGGTCATTGAGAAACTGTACAACATCCCGGTGACCATTAGATGATGCTGCGTGCAGAGGTGTCAAGCCATCTTTATCCACACTATTTAGATCTGCTCCTTGGCTGATGAGAAACTGTACAACATCGAAATGACCATCGAATGATGCTGCTAATAGAGGTGTACTGCTATCATTACTACCCCTATTTAGATTTGCTCCTTGGTCAAAGAGAAACTTGACAACATCGAGGTGGCCATTGAATGATGCTGCATAGAGAGGTGTCCATCCATCTTTATCTTCCCTATTTATATCTGCTCTTTGGCCAATGAGAAACTTTACAACATCGAGGTGACCGTTGAATGATGCTGCGGGAAGAGGTGTCATGCCATCTTCATTCGCCGTTCTTAGATCCGCTCCTTTACCAATAAGAAACTGTACAATAACGAGGTGACCATACAAAGATGCCGTGTAGAGAGGTGTCCAGCCATCCTTATCCGCCCTATTCAGATCTGCTCCTCGGTCAATAATAACCTGTACATCCTCGAGGTGACCATTGGATGCTGCTGCATGGAGAGGTGTCCAATCATCATTTTCAGCCCTAGAAAGAATTGCTCTTTGAATCTTGTCCCCATCCATGATAAGAATCCAACTGATCTGAGTATCTGCCTGCAATATCTAGGGTATTATAACTGAACTATAGGCTATTTGATCTGCCAACTAGAACTGTATTACAGCCGATGAAGACATGAAGTTAGTGTCGCCCCTAACGACTCAAGGCAATGGGACGAAGGTAGATAGATAGACTATACCGTGTCGCTTGTTATCTGCTCGGATTATTACGACTGGCATTCGTTTAATGCGCCTGCAAACTTCATGTAGATGGCGTAAATATTCTTGCCCACAAAGGAGATCACTTCTTCTCATTATACAGTCTATTAATCGTTCATATCAGCTGCATCGGTACGTTCCTTTTCCGAATAAACACGACGGTCCTACATTCTCCCATTAATGTCACATATCCATCACCTCCTTTTGAATGTGTATAAGCGGGCTAGACCTACAGATATGCAATGTTGTTATTTCGAAACACAAAAAACAGCACGATCTCACGAAACTTGTAAGATATAACGTTTTGTACAGGCTCCAATGGACGCAGCTCTATTCCTAGTTGCTGCATTATGGACCTAGAACGCACTCAACTGTCACTCGGCTGCGAATTATGCTAGCTGCCTCCTCAAAAAACATATATTGTAGAAATTGAAATATGACCTAAATTTAGTTCCTGTTTCCTGTTTTTACTCCGCTCAATAGAAAGTCGACAAAAGGCTAGCCTTTACAGGGTTACCCAATAAAAACGTACAAGCATATTCCCATAAGGTGAGGAAGGAAGACATTTTATCGTGAAAAATATGATATCAATATCTACAAATTCGATAGGGGTGGGGGTTTGTTTTAGGGAACATTTTGTGATCAATGCAATAATTCATAGGAGATCAAATTTCTCCAGTATCAATGACACACCATTTTAAACCATTAGCGTGATGTTATGTCTGTGTTTAAAGCATTAAAAACGCTTTAAAATATTTTGTAAAGTTACTTTGTGTTCAATCTGATGTTTATTAGCGCTTGATCAAGGCTCGATCAAGGATAAAACCGTTTCAAAACTCATCAATGATACGCAATTTTCGCAAGAAGCACTACCAATGGATGTTTTTAACATTGTGGCAGAAAAATGCACCCCCTAAAATACGACATGTGTCATGTGTTTTGATCTATAGTTCGAGTTCCGTCGCGCGGCACTAATATACTTTGACGAGTCATTATAATCTACGATTGCCACTCCCAACCCAGGTGAAGTAAATGGTTACCCAGTGGGAAGAAATTCATTGAATGTTTCAGCACCTTATCATGGGGACCTATGTGGCTACATATCATACAGCCGGGGTGTACACAGAGACATAAATATATATTATTACGTTCTTTAATTTTTTTTTTTTTTTTTACAGATACCGGTAAAAATTGTCCTAGATTATCGAAAATTTGCTTGTCCGTTTTTGTAATGCCACCCTGTCGTTATAGGCGCAGCCAGTCGACTGTGACAGACAAGAGAAGTATTAATGTAACACATATCAGTCTCTAAAGCACAACGCACACTACACGATCCTACTGCGATCCGATTTCTGAAGATTAAGATCGCGTGCTCGCTGTTGTTATTGAAATCCATTCAAAAGAAGAAAAACAATCTTGAATTCAGAGGGACCTACTGGGTGCACGTCAAACAATCCTTTACAACAAAAGAAACTTCTCCCAGGAAGCCTAACATAAAAAGGTAAATAGCATTGTAGAGACGATGAACAAATGAGAATAAAACATCGTCGTTAATCGTGAGAATGATCAATACTACCTCTCTCTCTCTCATTCTCTCTCTCTCTCTCTCTCTCTCTATTAAATCCTACGAACAGTGGAATCAATCAGGTAGAATTAATTGTTAAACGAATTTATCATGAGTCATGACAGATTAAATTGCTACTGCATATCATAGTCGCATTGGTGCATAATTGTTGCTGAAATTCAGCAATTGTTGCTATAATGCTTTTCCCTACAAATTATCATGAGACATAAAGCTAGATCAAACTATGCACAACAAAAATGATACTTTCTTGAGAACAGTGAGAAAGCATTAGAAATAGAATGAATAAGACATTGATGTGATCTTGTAAACAATTTGGTTCATGTTGATCCTCCTGTACCTAATAACCATGCAAATCTTGGGTAGAGATGTAAATGAAGGGTACACATAAAAGACATCAATTAATGATACATGTTCATGTATTGTCAATTGTGAAGAAATTTAATAAAAAATGAAAAAACCTCTAAATCCTGTTTTAATCATAGGATTGCAAGGCTCTTATATGTCGAACGCTTTAATGCTTACCTAAACAACAATTAGTGTGAACTCAACACAAGTGCAGACTGTAAGAACTAACTTATGGCTGGACGTATCGGTTCAAATGTGTTAACACTGTTGCGGCTTCAGTGTGTAAACAAAATATTATGTAATCCTCATTGTGTACTTTAATAATACAAATATCCATATTTAAATGTTGTGATCATCAATATGGTAAATCATTTTTTTTTTTTTTTTTTTTTTTTTGGGGGGGGGGGCAGTTTTTTAATGATTGGGGGTGGAGAATGTTGTGGAGAATTGTATATCATTATCTGATATTTGCCAGCATTCATATTTTCGTATGTTAGGCCACGTTAAGGTAATGATTATGATTAGGGTTATGTTAAGGGTTAGGGTAAGAGTAGATTGAAGCTGATGGTGAGGCCTTAGGGTCAACCAAATGCGCAGCGGAGTCGGGGGCACAGTGCCCCCACTTTTCAAGTACTTCCTAAAGTGCCCCCTTTTACTTCAGATAAGTGCCCTATTTTATTTCAAACAGTTGCCTGTTCCACGTTCATATAAGTGCCTTTTACCATACATGATAAGTGCTTCTTCTCTCTATGATAATTGACACTATTCAAATCTGTCTGGCGCCCATTTTACTTTAACAAGTGCCCCTTACTTTTGTAATTAGTGCCCCTCCCATTCTGATAACTTTAATGAGTGCCACTTCAAACCTCTGATAAGAACCCCCCCCCCCCTATTTATTTTGACACGTGTCCCCTTTATCTTTCTATTACGTGCCCTTTTTCATTCTGATAAATGCCGCTTATCTTTTTTGATAGGAGTCACTTCCCCTTCTCAAAAATGCCCTCTGATAGATGCATCTATTGAAATGTCATAAGTGCCCCTTTCCTTCGACAAGGGCCCATTTTACTTAGTTATAATTGTCCCTTTCTATTCTCACAAGTGCCTCTATTCATCACAGGCGAGTGCCCCTTACCACATCTGATAAGTGTCCCTTCACCTCTTATAACTGCCTTTTTTTTCAAATCTGAGAAATGTCCCTTAAATTTTGACAGGTGCCTCTTCTTCTTTGTATGCCCTATTTTCATTATTCAAGTGCCCCTTTGTCATCTCCGATGAGTGCCCTTATTCAAATCTGAAAGGTCCCCCCTTTGAATAAGAGCCCATTTTCATCTCAAAAATTTGCCCCATTTATTTTGACACGAGCCTCGTATCCTTTTTAATTACTGTCATTTTCTTTCGGATAACAACTCCTTTTCCTTTGTAATAAGTTATCATAAAAGCCTTTCTTCATCTCTGATGAGTGCCCTTTATCAGGTGCGAGAATTACTCCAGTTTCACCTCTGATAATTCCCATTTTTTTTTACTTTGACATGTCCTCTTTTTCTTTGCTAATAATTGTCTTTTTCCATTTGTATATATATATGCCCCCTTTTCCTTTCCAGTAACATGTGTTCCTACTTTAAAGGCTTCTAATTTATATTTCACCTTACCTCGCTCGCTACGCTTGCTCGCATTTAAAGTCTTTCAGTTTTTTATGTTTAGATTGTTCCAAATACCCAGTTAAGATTGTTTTTCTCCATTTATAACATGTAAATGTTTCCACTGCGACCTCACAAATCATTTGATATCTAGACCATCAAAACCAAAAGCAACGTATGATGCTAAAGCAGTATCTTCCACAACGTAAAAAGATAAACAAACATTAAAATCGTCCCTGATACTGAATCACCATGTAGGGGTATATACCAATGTCTAAACATTGTATATTTTCGCGCTAGGATTTTCCTTTGCAGGTGCCCCCTTTTTCTCAAGAAAGTACCCTTTGTTGTTGTTTCTCCCCCCCCCCCCCCCCCCACTTCGAGAGACGATCCGCCGCCCCTGGGGTCAGCACTAGGATTATAACTGAAATGATAGTTGAATTGCTTATTGGGGTATTCTACACTTGTTCAGATATGTATTACCTTCTGATATTATCATGATTGATCTTTTCTTTTCTTTTCTCTAGGGTCCTAGTTGGGTTAGAATTAGGATTAGGGTGACTTGTAGGCTTTGGCAGTGGGGTACGCGTCATGTAAACTTGTTCAGAAAATGAATTATTCCATGTTGTTGGGTTTTTAGGCTGTCCAATCTAAAACAAAATATCCGCCAGGCTATACTGTTCTCAGAGTTATTTATCAATGATGAATAGATGGCGCTGTTTCCTTTTCTCGGGCTCAAGTATTAATTTAGTCTTTCCAGTGTTCATTTTTTTTTCAACAATGCTCCTCGAAGAGTTGCCATTGAGTTTCACAGCTTCCTTTTGTTGCTTGTGACCGTTCAATCGATGGTGCCGGGCAATAATATAGGTGTCGAAATCAATTGTTTGAAATTGCCTCAGTTATTTATTCATTTATTATTTGTATTATTGTTTTATAGTAGTGCTGATTGGCTTCAAGATAATGGAGGTAGCCGGGTCAAATGTCACGATGTAGAGTTTGTCTCTGACGAAGAATCACCAATATCTTTAAAAATATGCCCTACATATAAAGAGAAGATAAAGTTTCTTAAGTTCTAAAACTTAACTTCAAGAAGCCATATGGGCGAAATCTAGTTTATCCTAAACTTTTCAACAGAGTTCTTTATCCTGTGTAATATAAATTGTTTATAGTGGACAGACGTTTTCACGAGTTTCTTTAGTTGAGGGAAATTACCATGTAATATCAGGAATTTAGTTATATTA